AACTCAATTCCTGGAGACCACAAAAAAGTGGAGGAACCTGCCACAGAAAATCAGGAATGCTTAAGTTCATCGATCAGTAAAACAGTGTAGAAAGTGAGACTCACTGAAATTTGAATGGATTAGGAAAAGCCAGATAATTGATGGACGGAAGCAACAAAAGTTCAGTCACATAATTTATCAACTCATCAGATGAAACCATAAGACACTTTATTAATTTTCTCCAACCTCGTGAGAAAGTCTGACTATTTCATGTACATGAGAGTAGCCTCAAACGTCAGTCTAGGAAATTGTTATTCCAGCCGAAATACTGAAGCCTGATTCGTCATTTCCATAGACACCAGGGTAACCTTTAAACTCAATCACAGTTATACTTCATGTGCGTAAAAGCTTTTCATCTATTTTGTATATATAAAAAGCATACTATTCATGAGAATCAAATTCGATCGATTGAAGATGCAGATAAGAACATGTTTACTGAGGTAGTCGAGCCTCATCCCTAGATATCTTTGACATAACTAATAGCTTCTTTCAATCATACAACCCAAAACTGTAAAATCAAAGAAACGAGCACAATACCCAAAGATATCTAATTGCTTAACTCAGTGATGTTTCACACAGTTTGCTAAACACGTTCCTTTCAGTCATATAGTTTAATTACGAAATTACTTACACTTTGGTGATTGGAGTTGAAGCAGAGTTATTATACAGAAATTAGCTTGAGCTCTTCTGGGATTAATTTATTTCAAGATGGTATTCTTCATACACTGAATTAGTTGGTGAGCCATTGAAAACCTGGGAGTACCGGACAGCTGTTTTGTCCTAGTATGGCACTCCTCAATACTGTCCACCCCTGACACCACCGATAGTCGAACTCACGGCCTCCACGTCTCTCAGACAACCTGTCACAGTTCAGAGTTCAGTAGTCTAGTCTCATAATTCTGTCAATTCACGAAGTAGCGCAACTATCTAACATGATCATCATTTGGCATCCACTTCAATTTCAACCCTACACGTCACGGCTTCTCCTTACCAGTTCACCATATCCATTTAGAAGTACGTTACTAATGAGAACTAGATAGTAATTTAATTTGTTGCAATCATAATTGATACTCTGAAGTGATCCTATCACGCATAGTTAAGCTGCGAACAGAAGTGAATTTAATACTTCCACTTCTGTGACCCATGCATATCTATCAACCAACATATATGTTATATTCACCCATATTTAGATGACACTGAATCAAGTACCAGATATCTGAAGGTAGTTGGGATGTAACTGTGAGATGGATCCTCGACACTATCTGATATCAGTAGTTGTTTACGTGATTGATAATTGGTGTGAAGCTTATTGTTTACACACGAATTTGTTTTAAAGCTCGATTGCCCTCTACGCTCGGATTTCCTTAAACACAATCATTGAGGTCAATTCAAGCATTAACATGCTTTCAGTTTGAAAAACGTATTTACTGTGTCATCACTGAGTAACTGACTAACTTAGCTCAACACAGTATCCTTTCTTTATACATAAGTTGTTTTCGGTAGGACTCGAACTGGAGACAGATCGCTCGAAATGGCAGGTCGTCATCCACTAGACAACCTAGTCACAGTGGTCACCGTGGTTAGGTGACTAACGTTGTGGCGTTTGGAGTGATCGGTTCCGAGTTCTAGTCTTCGTGGGGACAAGATTGCTCATCACTGGGAAGTATGTGCATTCGGGTGATGAGTCGGAAGTTGGAGGAAATGCATGACTTGAATTCCACTACTATCTACTACTCATCATTAACATTAAGTTCAAATGGAGGCAATGTCGAGTCATCCACTAGGCTACTGAAGCCCAAGAAATGCTAAGAAAATTATAAACTAATGGCCCTTAGTCTCTAGGAAGTCATAGGCATAGGATCCTCAAGTGTAAATTGCAAGTATCAAGGAAAGTCAAAGGTAAGCATCGCACAAGAAGGGATGGTCATTCCTCAATAGCTTGGTAGTTAAAGATATGATGATAGGTTCTAGTCTAAATGGTAACAGTGTCCCTCACTTTGAGGTAGATGCACACAGCTTGCCCGTCTGAAATAGGATGTAACATGTGCCCCAGTTTCCACTGTTGACCACTACCATAAAATCATAACACAGATGTGATATTATTTTTTTAAAGTCACTTAAGCAGTGGATTAACTGCACACTAGGTACTCCAGATGTAAAATTGATAGTTTTATCACCTAGTCTATTTACCAAAGTGTTTTTCATCGAGACATCGACTGACTTCACAATTCAGTGATTGATGGTGTAAAGTTATTCTAAGAATAATTTGTGACTTGTTTAATTTAAAATTCCAGCGCAAAAACAGAAGTTATCATCAGTTCGATTGAATTTGCAGGGCCAATAAAGTCACATGCTTCTAGTAGATATGTGCGAGTAAACTTTATTAGTGAATCAATAGTGTAGGTGTTCTACTTGACATGATTAATTAAACTGTAATTGCACGTCATGTAGTAGCAGTAAGTAGTAGTAGTAGTAGTAGTAGTAGTAGTAGTAGTGAGTAGTAGTAGTAGTGGTAGTAGTAGTAGTAGTAGTAGTAGTAGTAGTAGTAGTAGTAGTAGTAGTAGTAGTAGTAGTAGTAGTAGTAGTAGTAGTAGTAGTAGTAGTAGTAGTAGTAGTAGTAGTAGTAGTAGTAGTAGTAGTAGTAGTAGTAGTAGTAGTAGTAGTAGTAGTAGTAGTAGTAGTAGTGGTATAAATGACAGCGTTCTATTTCCAAAAGTTCTTGATGACATATAACTTTTGTGGGCGCACATGTACTCTTTGATGATAGTAGCATGAAACTGTAATACCATGAAAGGTAACTGACATTATTTCGAGACATGATCGAGGCTAGCAATCTCAATTGATTTTGAAACAAGTTGGTAGTTTGTCGTCGTAGTTCCGCTTGTCTGTCGTTTTAAGCCAAAATCTGGGTTAGGTGAATAACTTTCGGAGATCCTACTATCTTAGGAAGGCTACTTGGGTAACAGAAAAGGTCATGTTGTTGTCTAGACTCAAGTGAAGAAGCAACACAGCATTGTTAAGCAGCGGATGGGATTATGAGGAACCATATCGTTTCGTTTCTAGAAAGAAGGGTTAAGAAAGGTTGGTCCGCTAAGGCGACGCATCTATAACTTCATGATTTCAGCATTACGAAAAGAATCTTAAATAGTATATGACCAAGCAAATAAAAACTAACAGCTATTCCCAAAGGTATACAGTATGGTCGGCTTCAAGAAGATACCACTTGGATTCTTCTTTTTAAGCCTTCAAGTCGTTGTCGTCATTAGTAGCAATGCTGCTGCTATACGAACTGCTTCAGAAACCTTCATCCAGAAAGGTTGGTATATGCTTACACCCCTAACAGTACTCGAATGTCATATTCGGCCCAGGAATGGGACCAAGTGATTTATGAGATGAGATGTAAAGGATTCTATTGTCAGAGGAAAGTGTTAGCAGTCTAATAATCTTATTTTATATGTTTAGGTCTTAAGTTTATCCAGTGATAAGTATATCATCTAATGTCAATCATTTATTCGGGCATTTTAAACTTCATGTTTCTATTTGGTAAACAATCCGAATTCCTAGATAACTTTACGAAGAAAGAAAAACGTATCTATGCAAAGATCACTCTGATCACTTTTACTACTAAATTGTTTAGTCAAATAACCTATTTCCTGAACTGTTTGATTAAAATATAATTGACTGGCTAAAATCTGAATATTCTTTAATCATGTCATCTGTCTTCAACGACACAAATGACCCAGAACTACTGTAAAAATAAAGTTAGTAATGAACTTTCATTTGGGAGAACAGCGAAACTGTACAATGAAGCATTCGATTGAAAAGGGTTGAATTAAATATAAAATTTTAGTAATACTTATAACAGATATAATACTTCTTTACTGATAGATAGTTGTTAGGATGATTTTATAGATTTAGCAGAGAATTTCAACTGGTCATTGATGCTGTAATATGATTACTGACAACAAAATGGGAATAACGAATGTTACACTTGTGTCAAATACGTAGTTACCATGAAAATGTCAAAGTATTCATTGCGTTTTTCTGAACACACAAGTCAAGTTTCAAAATGTTCATCAATTATGGCTTGACCAAAGCAGATTAAGATTTATTTTATTTGTCAACTTCTAATTTCAAAGATAACAAGATCATCTACATAGTCTTCTGAGCAGCGTAAGCGGTTGCACAATATTCAGTATCAAACTCTTTGGAAGGTATTCAAGCAAGTGAACGCTTTTTCGTCTTCCCATCCTTTGCAATACACTTGAATTCATGAGTAACCTTGAAAGTTACTCCGAAAACTACTGAAATAACTAATCAAGTATTTGAAATTTAGTCTGGAAAGCTGGTTTATTTGTAAAATGAAGAAAACGTTTTTGGAAGACATTGTTTACGTTGAACTAGTTTTCACTGCCTGTAGTTGCTCTCAGAAAGTGCGAACCCTATGTTTCCAATTGAAAAGCTTGTCAAGTACACGTTTACAAATGACTTCTTGACTGTAACCACTCTTCCACTGATAAGTAGGACTTTCTGTACCAAATTCTTTTTTAAAACTTGTTATCTTCGGATATCCTAGAAAGTTTACTTAACACATCAGTGAATATGATGATTGTCACTGGACAGAGGTTGCGAAATGACATAAGTATGATTGTGTGGATCACTGGACTTTGGCTCACTGGGTGTCCAGTAACATACCCATCCTGAAACCTGAAGGTCCTGAGCTAAATCCCCGGTAGGGTTGTAGATGTGCAATGCTAAGTAGTCCCATACTAAGACGAAACAGCTCACAAATCCTCTCAGTTTTTTAAGGTTTCCCAAACTAATGTCAGTCCATGATGAATACAACCTTGGAATTATCTAACTGCATTTCGTATCACGCTTGTTTCAAAATCAATTGAGATTGCTAGCCTCGATCATGTCTCGAAATAATGTCAGTTTACCTTTCATGGTATTACAGTTTCATGCTACAATCATCAAAGAGTACATGTGCGCCCACAAAAGTTATATGTCATCAAGAACTTTTGGAAATAGAACGCTGTCATTAATACTACTACTACTACTACTACTACTACTACTACTACTACTACTACTACTACTACTACTACTACTACTACTACTACTACTACTACTACTACTACTACTACTACTACTACTACTACTACTACTACTACTACTACTACTACTACTACTACTACTACTACTACTACTACTACTACTACTACTACTACTACTACTACTACTACTACTACTACTACTACTACTACTACTACTACTACTACTACTACTACTACTACTACTACTACTACTACTACTACTACTACTACTACTACTACTACTACTACTACTACTACTACTACTACTACTACTACTACTACTACTACTACTACTACTACTACTACTACTACTACTACTACTACTACTACTACTACTACTACTACTACTACTACTACTACTACTACTACTACTACTACTACTACTACTACTACTACTACTACTACTACTACTACTACTACTACTACTACTACTACTACTACTACTACTACTACTACTACTACTACTACTACTACTACTACTACTACTACTACTACTACTACTACTACTACTACTACTACTACTACTACTACTACTACTACTACTACTACTACTACTACTACTACTACTACTACTACTACTACTACTACTACTACTACTACTACTACTACTACTACTACTACTACTACTACTACTACTACTACTACTACTACTACTACTACTACTACTACTACTACTACTACTACTACTACTACTACTACTACTACTACTACTACTACTACTACTACTACTACTACTACTACTCAAACTACTACTCCACTAATACTACTACGACCACTACTACTACTACTACTCAAACTACTACTTCACTAATACTACTACGACCACTACTACTACTACTCACTCTACTGCTACTACATGACGTGCAATTACAGTTTAATTAATCATGTCAAGTAGAACACCTACACTATTGATTCACTAATAAAGTTTACTCGCACATATCTACTAGAAGCATGTGACTTTATCGGCCCTGCAAATTCAATCGAACTGATGATAACTTCTGTTTTTGCGCTGGAATTTTAAATTAATCAAGTCACAAATTATTCTTAGAATAACTTTACACCATCAATCACTGAATTGTGAAGTCAGTCGATGTCTCGATGAGAAACACTTTGGTAAATAGACTGGGTGATAAAACTATCAATTTTATATTTAGCGTACCTAGTGTGCAGTTAATCCACTGCTTAAGTGACTTTAAAAAAATAATATCACATCTGTGTTATGATTTTATGGTAGTGGTCAACAGTGGAAACTGGGGCACATGTTACATCCTATTTCAGACGGGCAAGCTGTGTGCACCTACCTCAAAGTGAGGGACGCTGTTACCATTTAGACTAGAACCTATCATCATATCTTTAACTACCAAGCTATTGAGGAATGACCATCCCTTCTTGTGCGATGCTTACCTTTGACTTTCCTTGATACTTGCAATTTACACTTGAGGATCCTATGCCTATGACTTCCTAGAGACTAAGGGCCATTAGTTTATAATTTTCTTAGCATTTCTTGGGCTTCAGTAGCCTAGTGGATAACTCGACATTGCCTCCATTTGAACTTAATGTTAATGATGAGTAGTAGATAGTAGTGGAATTCAAGTCATGCATTTCCTCCAACTTCCGACTCATCACCCGAATGCACATACTTCCCAGTGATGAGCAATCTTGTCCCCACGAAGACTAGAACTCGGAACCGATCACTCCAAACGCCACAACGTTAGTCACCTAACCACGGTGACCACTGTGACTAGGTTGTCTAGTGGATGACGACCTGCCATTTCGAGCGATCTGTCTCGAGTTCGAGTCCTGCTGAAAACAACTTATGTATAAAGAAAGGATACTGTGTTGAGCTAAGTTAGTCAGTTACTCAGTGATGACACAGTAAATACGTTTTTCAAACTGAAAGCATGTTAATGATTGAATTGACCTCAATGATTGTGTTTAAGGAAATCCGAGCGTAGAGGGCAATCGAGCTTTAAAACAAATTCGTGTGTAAACAATAAGCTTCACACCAATTATCAATCACGTAAACAACTACTGATATCAGATAGTGTCGAGGATTCATCTCACAGTTACATCCCAACTACCTTCAGATATCTGGTACTTGATTCAGTGTCATCTAAATATGGGTGAATATAACATATATGTTGGTTGATAGATATGCATGGGTCACAGAAGTGGAAGTATTAAATTCACTTCTGTTCGCAGCTTAACTATGCGTGATAGGATCACTTCAGAGTATCAATTATGATTGCAACAAATTAAATTACTATCTAGTTCTCATTAGTAACGTACTTCTAAATGGATATGGTGAACTGGTAAGGAGAAGCCGTGACGTGTAGGGTTGAAATTGAAGTGGATGCCAAATGATGATCATGTTAGATAGTTGCGCTACTTCGTGAATTGACAGAATTATGAGACTAGACTACTGAACTCTGAACTGTGACAGGTTGTCTGAGAGACGTGGAGGCCGTGAGTTCGACTATCGGTGGTGTCAGGGGTGGACAGTATTGAGGAGTGCCATACTAGGACAAAACAGCTGTCCGGTACTCCCAGGTTTTCAATGGCTCACCAACTAATTTCAGTGTATGAAGAATACCATCTTGAAATAAATTAATCCCAGAAGAGCTCAAGCTAAATTTCTGTATAATAACTCTGCTTCAACTCCAATCACCAAAGTGTAAGTAATTTCGTAATTAAACTATATGACTTAAAGGAACGTGTTTAGCAAACTGTGTGAAACATCACTGAGTTAAGCAATTAGATGTCTTTGGGTATTGTGCTTGTTTCTTTGATTTTACAGTTTTGGGTTGTATGATTGAAAGAAGCTATTAGTTATGTCAAAGATATCTAGGGATGAGGCTCGACTACCTCAGTAAAAACGTTTTTCTCTTCAGCTTCAACGGATCGAATTTGATTCTCATGAATAGTATGGTTTTTATATATACAAAATAGATGAAAAGCTTTTACGCACATGAAGTATAACTGTGATTGAGTTTAAAGGTTACCCTGGTGTCTATGGAAATGACGAATTAGGCTTCAGTATTTCGGCTGGAAGAATAATTTCTTATATATGAAGGAATATATTTGTCCGTCTGATCAGCTGCCAGGGTGACTTTTTAAGTTACTCTCAAATTTGAGGAAGTTTAAGTGGCAACCTGGAAACCACTTAGATTATCAATCTCGTCTCGTCGTTTTAAAAATAACTGCCATCATGGCTGATATATCGGAAGTTGATTGGTTATTTCAGTAGTTGCTAGTTTGACATTTAAAGATGAGCATTAAGCCAACAATAACTGTTGGAAACTTTACAGACCACTCTGGCAACCTCTCTAATAACCATTCATTTTGGCTAGAAACGCCGATTTTTATAAAATATAGAAGTTTGATTGGTTATTTCAGTTGTTGCTAGGTTTACTTTTAAAATGGCACGAAAACTGGACTAATAAATGTAACTTGGCTACTCAGTAACGTGTCAAACCAATGAATTGTTGAGATGAAATTATACCGCAGCATTTTACTTAAAAATTCCTAATCAACATGAGCACTGAATACCACTGCATGTTGCTGTTATAAATGGCAACCTCAGAGATACATCATAGGTTTCTTGGAATGAAAAAAATAACTAGATACATTCAAAATCTAATCAACAACCTTGTACACTTTCTATAATAATATAATACATTTACTTTACTTTAAACCATAACACAATACCCAAGTTAAATAAGGTGGTATGGTTGCTTCTTGTCTTCCCTGATGAAAGACATGGAAAGAGATGCGGATACAGAGGATGCTGGTCATCAGATAAAACATTTCTAGCCAGTAGTCTACAAGAGTTCAGATGCCTATCCCCGAAGGCATTTATCAACTCACTTGGGGGTATGTCACTTGCTCTACTAACAGCCTTCAAAATCCTACGCAGTACAATGTAGTCTTTTTTCCGAAGTCCAGGAAAGAATAAGGGAAAACACAAGAATTAATGAAACATGAGAGTAGAGGCTGAGTTATGTCAGACAGTCTGAGCTTCTTTATATAAAAAGTCAAGCAAAGGAATTTCCTGGAAATCAATAAGGTATGAGGGGACCAAGAAAGAGCAGAAGGAAAGAATAAGCCAAGATGGACATTCTCTATAACAGAGCCATCTACAAGACAAAAGTCGTGAGACTTAAGCAATGTACAAAGGTCTTTTTCATGTCTTAAGCTAAAATTAAGCATCTGACATTCGAAGAGTGTCAGCCCATTTAAGGAAGACCATTAACCAATTTCGTTTAAGAAGTTATTAAACAGAACAACATGAAGAGGGGACGATCGGCATGAATACTATCTGGTCTTCAGCGTACTTTAAAAAGTTAGCTTTATTTGAGGTTGGTAAGTCATGCAAAAATAGAGAAAAGGAAAGGAGAAAGAATAACACCTTGAGGCGCACCGGCTTCACTAAGCAGTGAAGTAGAGCATCCATCCATCCACATAGTGTACTGTTTTCTCTTAGAAAAATATGAATCAAGCTAGTTTGTAGTCCAGGTCTTAATGTGAGTATTGGAAAGCTTGTTTAATGAGAGTGGTCTAGGGATAAAGTTAAAGGCAGAAGTACAATCTAAGGCAGATTTAACATATTTAGCATCTTTGTCGAGACTGGTAATAATATTTTGATGTAAAACAACTGCAGCATCTAAGGTACTCCTTCTGGGTTTGTAGGTGAATTCATTTAGACCTCTGAAAGCCTGTAAAGGAGGTTCAAGAGCACGAAGGAACAGTTTTAAGAACTACGAGGTTATTGTGATCGTCGGAATTTCACTTTTGCTCCAGAAGATATGGACTTAGGTACCGGAACTGTTTTCATTTTCTTCCAGGCGGTTGGTATTTCATTTCTAGCAAAAGGCTCATTAAAAATGCTGATGAGTGGATGACATATGATATCAGCACATTTCGTGAAAAGAATACTCTGTATGCCATCTAATCCGGGGTATTGCGAAGGTTTAATGATTTTAGGCATATGAAAACAATTGTTTCATCCAATTCGAAAAATTGAGTTCCTAGTAATAGATAGAGCACCAGACCTATTTTTTGAGAGTTAATAATAATGCCTGGCTGCGGAAACATCGGTAAGTGAGATGGGTCCGAACCGGGGACCCATAGGAGAGAACCAAGAGCCTAGACTCATGGGCCATAGCTGCACAACTGAAAAAATCGGGAATCTCTAAGCAGATAAACTTACGACAGCAGAAATGTTGAAGCAAAAGTTTCATTCTTCCTTACTAAGTTTGAGTTAGTTATGGATAGTAGGCTATAATATCACAAGATAAATTCATGAAAATGCAACCTACATACTTTACTTATGAAGAGGATGATAGTCCATTGACACGACATAATGAAGATAGGTAAAATGTTCAAAATTTTGGAGATAACAGAGTGTACAAATCTGTGTCATTGTGATCGATTTTGCGCCATGTCTCCAACCGTCGATTCCCATAATCTTGACGATACCAGTCAGAAAACTCACATTTATTCATAGGCTTTATGGATTGGTATGATATCCCAGCAGATTTCAAACCTGAATGGTAGGTTCATCGATCATATTTTCACCCTACGACAGGTTCTGGAACACAGATATACTTACTAGCTACCAACATGATATATTTCTTTACTTGATGGCGGTATTTGACTCTATCGATTGCGAGATGTTGTTGCAGTGTCTGACTGTGAAGGGAGTACCCAGTAAATAGTGCAGACGATGTTGTTCTGCTAGGTGAAAACGCTGATAAAATGCAGTTTCTTGAACGCGTTCAGTGGAAACCTGAGTGTTTGGCATGTCTTTCG